TGAGTAGACATCACGTTAAATGTCACATATGGTTGAAAATTCACTGGACATATTGTTGAGAGAGAGGGATGTGTGTGTAATGAGGAGAGTGGAGACCTCACATTAGCTCTGACTGGGAAAAACAGGCAAATAGGGAAGGGATTTCAATGACTGAATAATAAATATATTATTATCTATCTTCTCCGAGTATTCTCCATAAAGAAATGTGAAAATGCCTTTGGTATTCAGGAGAGTTTTAGATTGAAGCAACCAACAAACTTTTAGAATTGGTTTATCTTAAAAGAGTAAAAACAACAACAGAAAGGATTTGCTGCTAATCTGCCCTTATCCTGGTTATATTGAAAAGGAAATAAAAGGTAAATGTCAGTCTGTGACCAGTATTGATTTAAACACTGGGACCAATTTATTTTGTATTTCTTTATTACATTAAAGAATGAAAATATTATAAGAAATTTCTTTACATTTCATTGAGATTTAAAGTTTCTCAGATTGTTAGATCAGTCATCATTCAAAAATTTTCTTTCAATTTTTGAATTTTTCTTTATTGAAAACTTTCAGAAAAAAATGCTTCATTGGAAGATTTTATAAACAATAGTTTTTATTAGTAAATTTTTTTACTGGTGTACATTAAAAATAAAGTCTGGGTGAAAATCAAGTAAGTCATTTTTTAACAATATGCATATTAATATATTTGTAATACTAACAATCTTAATAGCTTACATTTTCCTGAACTTTAGGCTTTAGGAATGAATATTTTATTATTTTATTTCTTTTTTTTCTCCCTTTTTAATTCCCCTTCCACTTCCACCCTTGACCTATGGTTGTTGCCGTTTTTGTCCTGTTAACAACCGGATCTCTGAAGGCAGGGCATCTGCTCCCACATGCTTGCGACATGCACCCAGGGCCTGGCGCACCCGGGGCCTGCCGCACCCGGGGCCTGGCACACTCGGGGCCTGGCACACTCGGGGCTTGGCACACTCGGGATATGGTCCATGGCTCCACCTGGAGCGCGAACCCAGGATTTTCTACCTGTAAAGCAGACGTGCTAACAACTAGACTATGAAGCCACCCCCTATTTTATTTCTTAAAACGATAAAAAGCATTACTCCAAATCTGGGCCTAAGAATTGAGCAAGTACTTAGGAAAAACATTTGCTTATCTCTTGTAGTCATGCACATGTTTCATACACGTCTTAGAATCAATCATTGCACCTGCGATCATTTTTTTATGCTTGTGAGCTCCTAGGCTTATTACAGTTATCTCATATCGACCACTTCTACAGTATTTCTAAACTTGGCTCATTTCCTGCCATGTAATAGAACTTTGATAATGTTTATTGGAAGGACAACTTATTTTACTGTGTTTTATTTATGAAATGGGGCATAAATTATGAGATATAGTTTTGCATAAAGATTAAATAAGTGGTACTGAGAGTAGAGCTTGGCACAGTGTTGGCACTCAGTAAACACCCTTTCTTTGACCTACTGTATTTTGATTTTCTCATACTAAGAGATGTACCAGTCCATCAGATTTTTTGTTTGTTTTTGTCTGTAAGTATATTTGTATGAATTCATTGTGAGCATTTAAAATTGGGAGACTTTATATAAAATCTAAATTTCCAGCTTTTCTGTTTAGTTAGAAGTTTCAGAAAGCCAGAATTAGCAGTATTCCCCAAGAAACTTTTTCTTTTTTTCTAAACATATACAAAAGTGGTAGAAAGGTGACAGATAGTATTTGCTTAAGGTCATTCAGTTAGTTTGTGACCCAGCTGGAAAGAGCACTATGTACTATATTGTATTTAGCATATGTGGTATCATATTACTATTTCTAATTGTCTTGTTAGGGAAAACAATGCTCTTTCATGTACATAATTTCAATTAGTACTAACAATGACAATGTAAAAAGAGATACTTACTTCTTTTTTGTAGAAGAGGAAAATGAGACTCCGTAAGAGTTAGTGACTTGCCCAAGGTTATACAGTTGTAGGAGACTGAGTCCATTTCAAATGTAGGTTTTTCAGAATACTGATTATTTTAAACAAGAGGTGAACTTTAGAGACATGACTAGGTTCTCGATGGTGCCAAGACTTCTAGATTATATAAAAAAGGGATTGGTGCTGAAGAGAAATTCACCTCAAAAAAAGTTTTAAATAAGCCAGAGTAGATCTCATTCTAGTCTAGCTAGATTATAAAGTATTTGAAAAAAAATATATACCACATAGGTGCTCAAATATATAAGTTACATTTGTTATATTGTGTATATAATATATCTAATTATATAATTAGATAAATAGAGTCATAGGTAGATAATTAAAAGGACGACTTGACTTTCAACTATATCTGTAATTTTTGAGAACTCTGTGACTCTCAGCTTTACTATCAGTTAAGTGGGGATGGGTGGCTATTATATCATCTATCCTGTGGTGTTGCTTTTAGGATAAAATAAGATAATTAATTTGAATGTACCATGTGATCCCTAAACCACTAAAGAAATAGAAAAGATGATGGTTGATTAAAAAGCTGCTTCTGTATTGCTGTTTTCAAATATAACCAGAAAGCAACATTTAGATAGTTAAAAACAACAACCACTCATCTATCTTTTTGGTATTTGGCTATTAAATGAAGTAAATAAACTTTAAGAGTTTTCATGCCTCAACATCTAAATGTGGGACTCCATGCTCTGTGCATAAAATCGAAAGGAGCGGTTGTAAACATTTTTTTTTTTTTGTGGTTCGATAGTGCATATAATCTTATCATAGAATATCCCTCTATTTTTTATACCCAATTATGAGATTTTTGAAAATAACACTGTTCCATAACCATAAGAACTCCATTTCTGAAATTCTCTACCTCCTCTTTAAATGACAAATGTATAGTAGCAAATTCTACATCTGGACTTTAGAAAAAAGATAAGCAAAACCTATAAGAACATAAGTATTTTTTTTTAGAAGTAGAAGTTATCTTGCATAAAAATCCCATTTTAATTAAAATGATGAAGGTATTTAGAAGAGATGAGTAAACCTCATAACAATGCATTTGTCCCAATTTTCTGATTGAATTGTATGGCTGAGTAACAGTAGACCCAAAAGACTTTATTATAAGTATTTTCTCATTTAGGCTTTCCTCTCTCTTTTTTTTTCTGCTCATAAACTGTCAATCTCATATCCGTAGCTTTACCACGCTATCTGTACACACCCTCAAAATGTGTTTTGCTTCCTTCTAATTACATTAGAGTTATTTCAGTCACTTTCTGGAACATTTAATATTGATTAATCTATATAATCTAAGCAAGAATGTAAATAACCTTATTTCCTGAACATTTTTAGAAAGTGTTTTCAAGGCTTATTCATATGAGAATAAAATAATGGTTATGGTGTTTGTTTAGAGCAGATTATGCTCTTACATCTTAGAAATTCCACTGTTGCTCTTTACCTCCCCATATGGTGTTTTCACAAATGATCACAAGATATGCCTGCCTCTTTTGCTTTGGTGGAATCTGCCTCTTCCCCAATGAGGTCTCTGTACTTCCTGTAGCACGTAATGTGCAGGCCACCACATTCCCCTGGGCATTACTTCTGAGTTGTATTACAAGCTCGGCTTTATTTTTGCTATCTTTTCTTCTTCCAGTCAAAGAGGATAAACATTTTGAGGTCTTTTCTTATGCTGATCTTAGGAACTATTAGGATCATTCATAATAATTTATTCATTTGAGAGAGATTTCAGAATATTGACTTAAATCATATTTATACTAAAATGGAGACAGAGTAAGCTGCTGTCTGCCTGTGGGGAGAAAGAACAAGCAGTACTCCTAAATAGAAGACACTTGAAAAAGGAGTTGATGATGTTTCTTGTTGCATTGTCACTTTGTTCTATTTTCTTATTTTTTTTGAGTAAGAAAACCTGTGTATTTACTTTTGAAGTTGAAAATAACCCAAGTTCCTATTACCTAAAATGGACTGTGAATACTTTGTTATGTGGGTTCTTTTGAATCACCAAAGACTTAAACTGGATTTTCTGTTCTGAAGCTCTGATTTTGGCAAAAGTGTACGTGGAGATTTTGTATATGATTCTTTCTTCCCAAAATTAAAGGCAAAGAGTAAGGAGAAATAGTCAAAAATTCGAACACTACTGATCTTGTATTTTGATTATGATCAGAGTGAATTTTGCCAGAACATTACTTTGGCTTTTCTTTCTATTGAAGGAGGGGAAAGATAATGACAAGTATTGAGGCCCACACTGAGCATGGAAAGGCTAATAAAGATTAAAGTAATGCTGAAGTGGGTAAAAAAGAACACATTAGTGGATGTAGAAAAGCTCTTTATTTGGACAGTGATAGCAAATAATTCTAAAGGGAATGGATATTATACTATATAATGCAAATGCCAGTATAATGAAGAACAATTCTCTTTCAAAGTAGCTTTGTATTCATTATTTTTTGAAAAACAAAAGCACACTGAACCCATGAGGTAATTAAGATAAATAATTTAAGGAATTCAAGATAGTCATTAAGCATACACTAAAGTTTAGAAGAAGCACAATTTTGCATTTAGATTTCCTACATGGAAACTTAGCAATTATGATGAGAATTCTCTGAAATACCCAGCTCTGCTTTGGCATATGAGACAAATGTTGTATTTAGTCTTTCATATATGCAATGATATTGAATGAATTAGCAATAGTCACAGTGTATTCTTGCAAAGTAGGATTGAGACATGCAATTATTTGTTAGGTGTCACTCTCTCTATATATTTAAAGTCATTATAAAATAGTGCAAAAATTTTCTTCTTTAGAGGCTCTTAAAACCCTTTATCTACATAGTAGGGAAACTTATAAATAAAAACTGGAAAATGACTTTTATCCATGATATCTTCTCGTTAATCCCTTCTCCTAGACCCAACTGCAATTGACTAGCTAAAGACTTCGACCTTCAGATGGCAGTTTCAGTTCTACTTCTTCAGGAAA